TCTTACTACTAACACTAATAATAACTTCCATATTTGGAGCCAACATATTTTTAAATGTTACGTTTGAGATCTGTGGGGAAAAAATGACTCAACCTTTTTGTTTGGCTGCATTTGAAGAGGCATTATGGCGCTATTCAATTCTTCTCAGCTAAATAAAAGCGAGCGCGGGCCGACCCGGGATGGAGAGTCTGTATCAGCTGCCTCCTGCTGATAAAGAACAGAACAGACAGATGCGCTTAACAGAGGGGCGACTTTGTGATTGAAGAGAATCCGCTCCAGTTCGTTTCGTATGTGAACACCAAGCGAACCGGAGACCCCTCCAAAAGCAGGAAGTGAACTACATTGCAGGGCATTCTGAGTAAATACAACCAAAATAAACACAATAGTCTACTGCTAGCACGAGAAATGACTTGTGGTCTTTTTAAAAACCCACTAAAATCCATTTTTCTTCCCACTTTGTGAAGAAGGAAGTTGCACTAAGTGTCTTCTTCAGAGGTTTTTGTGTCGTCTCTGTCAGTAGTTCTTGGTGCAGCGCCTCCACAGGCCAGGAGGGGAACAGGTTTTTCAAAGGGTTTAGTTTGTTTGACAGTGCAGAGTGAAACTGAACCACACCAACTAAAAATATAATAAACGTTGCAACTTTGGTCTCCAATCGAATCGAGTCTACCAGACTATCAGGTATGAAAACACCCTTACCTCTGAACACCACATTCACACAAAGCAGTAGACAAAAAGGAGAACTCATGGCTAATTATACTATCTTTATTCTGGTTTATTCTCAACCACTGATGCTGCCTCATTTTTACAGTCGCTCCCGTTGGATGTTGTTGGAGTCAACACAAATCAATGTAAGTTTAGCCACTAAAACTTACATTGATCATCAGTTATGCCAAGATAACTTTCTAACCTTCACTTTAACTTGGTTATATCCCCTGGATACTGGATGAAGACCTTGCTAAAACATAAAGTCTGCTTAAGGTCTTCTCAAACACAGACTGAACATTACAGATGTTCTAAAGTTCTGAGCATTCATAGAAAACCTTATCGTATGAGCCAGTATTTTCTTGTGGTGGTTACCCATCAGATTCCAGGGCAGTGGGAGTGTATCCATGGTGTAGGGATAATGAGCATTGGTGTGCAGGATTTGAAGCACGGCGGCCTCATGCCCGGCCTGCGTGATTATTGTTGTGTAAGTAGGGTCATCCTGTGGTGAACCGATTGCCTCGCTGCTTCTTGACACGGTCTGAGAAAGTCACATCAGCCCTGCAGTGTGGTTCATTGGCAGGACTGTCGTAAAAAAAAAAAAAGACCTCCAGTTGGAGAACATGAAAACATTCAGGCTGCATGGTATGTTATGGAGAATCCCGTATGTCAGTGGTGCAGCAAGGTTTTCTAAAATCCACGGGATGTGAGCTGTATGTGGCAGAGGATCACAACATATAGCAGCTCAAGACATGCAGAAATGTTACCGGAAATGCACAAAATGAGCATATTGCTTGCTTAGCCACGTATTGTTAGGCCTTCGGGAAATTCATCGTGTTTTCTTGTGTTTTTCTCTCAGATTTGTTTTGTGACTTCTGTCACTTCCTGGAGCATTTTGACTAGGCGGCTCCAATTTGTTCTTTTTCATCCAAGGAGCTCGTTGATTGGATGAAAACGATCCGCGCTTCACGTGTGAAGACGCAAAGTTAGCGATCGAGTGTGAGATTATTGTTTACTTACAAAGATATGTGTGCTCACGCCAGTTTCGCTGCTCACTCAGATTGGCGGCACAACAACAGCGCCACAGAAATGCAGTTTTTGAGTGAAACTACATAAGTTCTTTCACTCGTGTCCAGTTCTCTCGTGATCCATTGATAATCTAACACATTGATTTGATTTGCGATGATCTAAGTCATTTTCCTCCAGCTTTAAGGTGGAGGAAAATTGACAATTACTCCAGCCACACAACGACATTGCAGCAGTTTATTTTTAAAACCACTCCTGCAAAACTTGAGTCAAAACTTCAAATGTCAGAGATTTTTTTTCTACAGCATGCATGAGCTAAAAACAAACAAACAAAAAAAAAACAAAACATGAAGTTTACTGTTTATTATAATACATTTTTCATGCTTTGGCGCTCAGCTCCAGGCTTATTAACCTCAGTGAGCAATTAAATATTCATTAACATCAGATCAATCTGTTACTGTGCCCAGGAAAAAGAAATCGCTTTGAAGAGGGCAAACCTTTAGAAGTAAAGCATCAATCCATCAGTTTTTCCAGCTTGATCGGTCAGAGGGTTTTGGCTGATGTTGGTCCGGAGGTGTGACGAGCGTCGGATATGTCAGGGCGAACACATGAAGGGGAGGAAACCGAGCGTTGACTGTTAACTCAACATCCATGTTTGAGGGACGTGATTCAGAAAGAATTAGCATGCTAAACTCTGGCCTGGGTTTTTCTTCTCAATCTGGAGATTTTTTTAATTCAACATTTTGGCAAAATGGGATTGAAAACGGCTACAGCCATCACACATCGAAGTAGTTTGATGATGATGATGATGATGAATAGGCCCTCTTCTCTTGTTTTAGTTTAAAGTTTCTTATTTCCTTTCCTTCCCCAAGCTGCTCTCCAGTACCTGCCCTACTTTCACACTCCTCTCACAGTTTAAGAGTTTCACTCTCTACATCTTTCCCTCTGCCTCCGATGCTTCGACATGCACCCAAATTTACTGCAACTCAGATATGTGTCTTTTTCCTTTTTTTAATGGCGTATACCATCAGTTGTACAAGCAGCCAGGTTGGCTGCTTTGTTACTGGCTGCCTTATTTTTCAATAAGAAGACACACATATTCCAACATGCATGAGTAATTCTTTTTTTTTTTCTTTCTGGCTTTTGTTATCTGACAGCCTGCAGTGCCCAAAACCTTTTGAAATATTAATCAGTCCATGGTTTCTTATGCAAAACTGGTTTCAGCGTTGAAGAGCCGCCGTTCTGGGGCGAAGGAAAACAGAAGCCCCCGGCGCTCGGCCGCCCGAGGGTCCTGGGACGTCTCAGGGTGCTCTTGTGTGTCGCGTTCAACCTCCAGGCACGTAAAAGTGTCACGGTTTGGGGTACGGGGTGGTGAGGCAGTACAACTGCAATCTCACACGGCCCCCCGAGGTACCGTCGGATACTTTAGGAGTACCCAAATATGCGTTGGAGCGAGTCTGTATGCGACCCAGAAGGTTCAACGTTCCCCGAAATAGGTTTAGGAGAAAAGTGTTTTCTGATGGCCTAAATGTGAGAACAGCGTATGAGGCAAAAAAAAAAAAAAAAAAACAGAGCAGAGCAGGAGTGAGCAGGAGTGAAGTTTGTGGGCTGTGGCGTGTTTCTGTCTTGGTTTGAGTTAATTCAGCAAAGGAAATGAAGCCACTGAGTTAAACCTTCTGATTTCAAGAGTCAAGAGAGTTAAGCAGCAATATGCAAGATTTAAGCCGTAAGAGAAAAAGGGGTGAAATGGAGGTAAAGAAGGAGCAAAGGGGCAACTGCAAATCAGAGACAAAGTGACAGAGTTGAAATGTGTGTGTGGCCTTGTACTTGGTATATTGTGAAGATCACTTTCCTAACACATAACACACATTGTTGGGTTCATGGCTTCCATAGGGAGCAAACCCAACAACACCAAAAGAAGTGGTATTATTGGGTAAGGATCTGGGTTTAGCATTAAAGTATGAATTGAGTTTGGGTTAGGTTTAGGTAAGCCTGGCCATTGCCTTACTACACAATGTCGCTTACGTTTCATTTCCCATTAGTGCTCAGTGTGGGTGTTCTCCCATTGACTTGGATTCCCTACGGTTGGATATCTACCAGGCCAAACAGCAAACAGAAGGAGAGGTTGAGAACGATGATTTCGATTTTCTGGGACGTTTTAGCAACGGCAGCGAAGGAGGTGACCGAGGCCATTCAGTCCGTGTTGGTCACACCTCCAAATATTGAATTAATTTAAACAGCAGCCTTGTTCAGCGAGGCACTTCTCTCTTTGCAGTGGAAAATGGTTGTTTTTAGCACAGGCGTCATAACGTCAAACTGGCGCATCACAAACTTCACAGACAAACTTCAACAGAGTCCACGCCTCCAGGAAGCAATCGTTTCTCAATAGCCGAGAGCCCAGAGCCTCTGGACGAATCGAAGCGTAGAACAAGATGCTGGTTTGTACCAGGCTATGTACTAATGGTTAGGTTTAGGGTTTAGGTCATGAAATTAATGAACAATTAATGGAAGTCAATGTAAAGTCCTTGTGAAGATAGAAAGACATACTATGTGTGTGTGAGAGAGAGAGTCAGGCCTAGTTTTAGTGTGTGATCTAGGCCATTATCTGTGTTAGCACTGATGGGGCTCCAACAGGCTCTGTGGATCCTACATAACAATACCTTTTATGAGCTTGTACTTGCATGTGTGTGTGTGTGTGTTAGGTACAACATGCTTTAACTCCCCCACCCCCGTATTAATACCATTGTGTCATACATAATGCACGCATGCGCCCCGGCGCCCTACCCCTTCTGTTTCTCTCTAAATTTTATAGGTGTTTTTTTTTTTTCCTCGCTCCAAACTTGGTCTGTAATTATGCGTAAGAGTGTTTAGTGGAGTGTTTCTTTCCATGTGTGTGCTTCCTCACGTGCAGCTGCGCACTCTTGCTGTATCACACTTGTCGTGGGTCCAGCCCCCCCATCCCCCGCCTCTCCAGCAGGGCCCTGGGGGCCTTCATTATGTAAGAAAGACGTTACTGTAGAACAGAGGCGGGTAGATGACTCCGGCAGGCCCCTGCTTCAGTGCAGCGAGCGCAGACCTCCAGATCGCTCGCTCACACACTGGCACGCATAAAAAGACATGTGAACGAGATCATGCTGAAAAATTCAGACCTTTTCCAAGAGAAACCCCATAAAAAAAAAAAGATGCACAAAATCCTCAGACACCCTCCATCCTTCACGTCCACACACCTACTCTAACAGTCCTTGCGGCCATCTTGAATAACGCTCTCTTGTGTCTTCCTCCTTGTTCCGTGTGTGAATCCAGCGGTCCCCTTCCCCCTGGCCCACCGGCTGACCATGAAGGAGGTGTTTGACTCGGAGGGCCGTCCGCGGGTGGACCTGCTCAAAGCTCACCTCACAAAGGAGGGCCGGCTGGAGGAGGCCGTGGCCCTGCGCATCATCGATGAGGGTGCCGCCATCCTGCGCCAGGAGCGCACCATGTTGGATATTGAGGCGCCAGTCACAGGTAAGGAGCTCCAGTCAGGACCGGGGAAGAGTAAAACAGATCTGTGCAGCAGCAATGAGACGGTTGGTGTCAACGAGAGAGCAGTTTATGAACTTTATCTGATGTTAGCAGTTAGCTAAAAGATGTAGCTGGCTTCATAAAAGGGGCCGACTGATGTAGTATAATATAAAAATGGACTTCTTTAAGCTTTACGTCATGTCAAAAACAAACCTGGAGTGTCGCTTTGATTCGTTCATGCATGTTTAAGAAATCCTTTAATCTCCATAGCAACCATTTAGCTGTACAAAACGCCTGGGTGGACCTAGCTCTGCCTTCGAGGACCGCACTCCTCCTGGAAGCTGCAGTTTCCAAGCCTCCACCTGACAGGGCAGCCATCCCTCACTGAGCTCCTTCAGACTAGCCAGCAGCAATTAGCACATGAGCTGAGCTCATTATAGGAACTATTTCTCAGTGAAACGTTTGTAAAAATGTTAATGTGTTTAATAGAGGAGCCATGTCATGTCATTACTTTGCAGTATTAGCATTGGTGATGCTACATGTTTCCAGTCAAAGAAATGCAATCCTAACGCTCACTGACAGTGAAAACAGCTGAACATTCATGAGGGGTAAATATTCAACGTGTCAAGTTGGCATTAGCTTGAATATGTATGAGTGGAAGATAGTTATTTCCTGCTTTTATTTAGCACCCAAGTAAGATTTGGATTGACTAACTCTGGGTTTTAAACTGTAAACATTTGACACTGAATCAGCTCCAATGCCACAAAACCAGTGTACTTGTGTAGGGGCTCGATTAGTGATTTAATTGTGATTGGTGGAAGAATTTGTTATATGCTGATGACAGGGTTGTTTCCTCTTGTGTTCGCCGTTGAGCCCCAAATTATTCACAATCTGTTCTCTGTGACGTTTGTCTGTCATTTGGACACTTTATGGTCTTTATTAAATGGAGTGCTGTTCAGTCCCACTTTGCTGAGTGAAGCAGTAGATTTGGTCATCTGTGCATGTGTTTCCCGGCCTTGCTAATGTTTTGAGTGGAGGATAATGTCGTGGGAAGGACGACAGAGTGAGAGCAAAATAAAAAATAAAAAAAAACGTCTTTCAGAAACAAACCAGCCAGTCAAACTGAGACACTCACAACCTATTGACTCTGTTTGGTTAATGCACCTTTGCGCCTGCTTCAGGTTGTGTGTGTGTGTGTGTGTGTGTGTGTGTGTGTGTATGCAAATGTGAGCAGTGAGATAATTTTGTGTGGGCCGCCGTTGCCCACGCAGTGTGGGAACATCGCTCAGCTTTCACAGGTACAGATCCCCGGGGACGAGGACAGACAGACGGGCAGATGGAGAGACAGCCGATCATAAGCAGCTTAGTGCAGAGGTCCGCCAACCTTTTCGCTCCCGATGAGCGGCATATTGATTCCTACCGTCAGGTTCCTCCTCTTCCGCGCAGGCTCTGATGCAGAAAGAAAGTTTTCCTGCCTGAGCCAGGAAAACGCAGATAAACTTTAGGTCCAGAGATTGAATCTGGTTAAGATATTCAGGATGGTTGGGATTGTCAAGTAGGCTGAGGGCTGAAACTTGAACTGACAGGCGTTGGAAAAGCTTGTGAGAGGAGACTGGGGTAGAGTCTGAGGAGACCACACACAGGTCACTGCCGATTGCCAGGTCAAATGAAAGTAAAGCCTTTTGGAGCAGGAGCAGACATTAAAGTGGGAGACAGACAGACAAACAGAGGGGAGGAAGGAAGGAAGCGGGCATCATAAAACGCTGAGGAGGGGAACTGTGACATCAACGACAAGTGAAGGAGGAGACCAGACAGATGGCGATGGTGAGATTTGAGCTGACAGATTCTGCAGACAGACAGTCCTGAGGACATGCAAATCGATCTGCGTGCGCATTCCTCTGTCTGGAAAACATCTGAGAAGTATTTATGTGAGCTCTGACCTTATTTTTTTTTCTCTATAAATTATATTTATAGAGAAAAAACTTGAAATTGTTTTGCAAGTTCTATGGTTGCTAGTATTTATTTAGAAGTCTGCAACCTTCCACAACAGCTCTGTAAAAATTCTGAATACAAACTTATGTGTTTCAATATAGATTGAATCACAAAACTTCGTTATAGTGGTATTTAATAAAACAATTACATTGCATTTCCACAACAGAATGAAAATAAAAGTGCCAGTAATGTATTTTTTTTACTCTATTTCTTCTTGTCATTCGATTGAAAACTAAATGCTTTTTTTGCAACTTCATTTTCCACAAATGTCAACATCCCATAGACAAAATGTATGCATTCTCTTTTACGTTGTTTTTGTATTTTAAAGCCCGAAAAAGAAATAAAGTGGCGGCTCTTTAAAAGCGACAATGGATTTTCTATAGCTGATGTTTGTCAAAATGACAAGTCACGTAAACATTTGCAGCTCTAAAGAAGTGGCAGCTTTATGCGTACTTATGTGCATGAATGTATGAATATAGAATAAAAACACATCATATCACATGTAAAAAGTATAGAACAAAATCCCAAATTAAGCCATAAGTGACTTAATTTGATTAGTTCTGGTTCCTTAATACTCCTTAAACCCATTTAGTCACTTTATATCAAATTTCAGTGCATCTTACTGGGATTTTATGTAACAGACTAACTCTTAAGTGGTTAATATTTGTACGGTGTAGGAAAAAAAATTAAATGAAAAGCGTGGTGTGTAGTTCTGTTCAGCCCCTTTTACTTTGGCACTGCTAAATACACAGATTTAGAGCAACCAACTCCATTGAGAGGTCACAAAAGAAGTAAATTTATGTTTCTTAAAGAAGATACATAAAATAAACGGCATCATGAAGACGGAGGGACACAGCAGACAGGTCAAGGAAAAAGTCTAGATGTAAGTCAAGTTCAGAATCTGTGGCAAGAGTTCAAAGTCAAAACTTGCTCTCTTTTTGAGCTCATTTGCGCTGAAGGATGGCCCAAAATGTTAGTAGTTACATGTGCGAAGCTGAATATAATTGCAGCAAAATACATACCTTCAAATTAGGACGCACTTTTCAGAATTGTACTTGTGAATAAATGAAAGTTATGTGGCCTTTTCTTCTTAGTTCACAATTATCTGCTACTCTGTGTTGGTCTGTGGCATAAAACCCCACTGAAACACAATGAAGTATGCAGCAACACCACAAAATCTGGTTCAAGTAGGTACATACTTAGTCCAGGTACTTGTCCACTGACTCTTTTTTTTTTTTTTGTGGAATAGAAGCTTAATACAGACCAGTATTTCAACAACAAATGGGAAACATGATCCACTGTTTATTTGCAATTCAGTTTAAAGGGTTTTTAAAATCCATAAATGAAGAAATCAAGCACACCCTCATGCTTGATTTCTCCTGTTTGTGAGTCCAATGAGTAACGTTTTCAGACCGGCAGTCGGGACAGATACGGCTTTACTGCTGCGGATGCAAGCCGGCCCATATGGAGCCGGTGAAGCAAAAACACTCCCACATCTGTTAGCTGGATTGTTCACATGTGCCCACTGCTGTTTCCTCAGTGTGTGGAGATATCCACGGCCAGTTCTTCGACCTGATGAAGCTATTCGAAGTGGGAGGCTCTCCTGCCAACACACGCTACCTCTTCCTTGGGGACTATGTGGACAGGGGCTACTTCAGTATTGAGGTGAGGAACGGTACAGCCAAGAGAATACCCGGTTGAATCTCGTCTTTTCCAGCTGTGCGTTCAGTCAGAAAAGTTCTTTGCTCGCTGTGCTGCAAACGCAGTGACCGTGCAGGAGAAACAGTGCTACTGGTGTGCAGTCCCTGAGGTTTACTGTGTGGTATCCTGGGGGAACCTTAGCCCCCCTCACTGGCACAGTTTCAATACTGTACTGTGTTACGTAACATAATACATGATATAAGTCCTGACAGCACCAGCCCTGTTTAGGCCACCTTAATCAAACTCTGGTCTATTTGTATTTGCCATGGTCACACTCGCTTTTATGGCGTTTTCACGTCTGATAGTCTGGTAGACTCGGTTAGACTGGGGACCGAATTTGCAACATTTGTTCCATTTTCAGCAGGTGCGGTTCACTTTCACACTGCACCACGGCAAACGAATGAAACCCTTCGAAAAAACCCGTCCCCACACCCCCACCAAGAACCACTGACGGAAATGATACACAAACCTCTGAAGAAGACAATGAGCACAACTTCCTTCCTCACAAAATAGAAACAAAAATAGAGCTGGATTTCTCTTTTGTCTAGGTGTGAAAGCGCACCCTGTGGTGTGGACCAAAAGAGCAAACTCCGGTCCACCTAAAAACCTCGGTCTTGGTTCAGTCGGAGTGAACTCTGGTGCGCTTCGAATGCATATGTGGACTAAAGCAGATCATGGACCTCTCCAAAAGCAGGAAGCAAAATATAGTGCAGGGCATTCTTGGTAAAAACAACCAAAATAAACGTGAGAGCCTTGCACTAGTGGGAGAAATGGCTAGAGGTCTTTTACCAAAGACAAAAGAGAAATGTTGCAAATTTGGTCCCCAGTCTAACCGAGTCTACAGGCCCATCAGATGTGAACATGCAATAAATG